CATGAAATGAAAAATGAACTCTATTTCATTTGTATTTGGAGTACTTCAATTGTCGGACAATTATATGAAGCTTTTAGTATTTTGATTTATTGTAGCCTTTCCATCTTTGCTCTCAAAGTAAGTTTCTACTACCCACATCAAGGATGTGAAGATTGGGGTGATGGAGTCCAAAATACATGAAGAAAAAAAAAGAAAGATTAAATAGTAATGTTTCTGCTGTTCTCCTAATGCATTTATATCTAATACTTCACAATATGAAGTGCACTTTATTATTTTTCTTAGCATTTATCCTTCTGTAGTTGTTAGGAAAACATACTCTGGGACCCAGAGCAATCTAACAAGTATTCCATTCCAAATGCTTAAATATGCAAGCATTGGCCTATCTGTCAGATAGTGTCCGGTGCCTATGTGACACCAAGGTACCTCAAAGAAACACTTCATTTTCATAGTCTCAAAAAAGATGCCCTCACCTTCATAGACTGCAACCATGTGCATACCAACATACGTAACTGGTCTTTTTTATGTTTGTGTCTGAGATGTGAGATCTGGATATGGAGAGAGATTTCTATTTTTCCTTTGCAATGTTCAGATCAGGTTTTGACTGCTTTCTAGGTCTGTTATCCGCACCCTTCACAGAAGAAGTGCCATTCAGATGGCCTACCCTAGGCACCTGAGGGATCCAAGCAGGTTCCCAAAGGATACTTGGGGAGTTCCATAGCAATCTAGTAGGCTGTTCTGATTGAATGAGCTACTGGCAATGAGAGGCAAGCCAAGTGGTAGACAAGATTGGCCAAAGCGACTTCTGGTTTGTCGGCTTCGCCAGCGGCAGGGATTCGCGATCCTGCGTGATCCCTGCAGCGCTTGCCGTCTTGGTGCCTCCGATCCTGACAGATCTGGAGGCTAAGGCTGCCCCGCAGAGGCAGCCGAAGATAGGGGGAGCTGGTGAGGGGTTTGGGGGTGTTGCAGACCCCCTCTCCAGCCGGCAAAACCCCCTTTTCTCAAGGCGGTCGAGCGGCGGTCTGTAATGGCCGCCACAAAGAAGCTGGCAGCTGGGTAAGACTGAGCAGGAGGAAGAGAGGAGAAAGTTTCAGAGAAAGTTTTTTGGCTGACCCAGGATTTTAAGAGGCGTCTAATCCTGAAAAATATGACTTCTTGAACGATACTTTGTTTCCAGAGGAGAATTTCAAGCGGCAAAATTGAGGTGCTGAAATGGAAAGTTTACTCTCCTTCCCTATGGAATCAACAAATGGCCATTGAGAAACCTGTTGTTCTTTTATAAAAGGTAAAAACTTGGCTTCTTGTTATAAGTGGGAAGGGAGAGGACAAAAAAATATTAAGATTTTGCTGGAGGAGATGTCTTGAAGATTTTGAGACTAAGAATTAATTGTAACAAGGCTCTAAAATACAGATTGGGCTTTTTTCTTTTCCTTTTTACTGATACCACCCCAAAGAGAAAGTGAGAACTTTGTGCTTTGTCTGGACTGTTTGATGTCTCTGGGACTTTGGGGAATTGTTTTAACTTTTGAAACATCTTGGTTGCTTTAAGAAGAAGAACAAAGAAAAGATTCACAATGGCTTTACCTGTTGATGAACTTAGAAAGGAATATGGAGAAATAAAGAAAGAAAGCAAGGACGCTGTGAAAGAAGCCTTCCTTTTTTTAGAAATGGCGCTTGCTATTTATCAGCAAACACAACAACAGATGGAGGAAATAGAAGAAGAAGAAGAAGAAGAAGAAGAAGAAGAAGAAGAAGAAGAAGACGCCATCTTCAATGAATCTAAAAATTTAATTAAGAAAGAAAAGAGAAAGAAAGGAAGGAAAATGAAGGACTTAAGACTTAAAAAAACACTTAAGTAAGAGAAAAATAAGATGCAAAATCAACTCAATGTTACTAAGCAAAAGGAAAAAGGAATACAACAGAGAGGGGAAGCTAAAAAGGCGGAGGTTAGTAGAGGGGAGGGTAAAAAGGCCAGGTGGGATAAGAAAGGAAGAGAAAAGAGAGGAAAAAGCCACAAAGGTATGAAACAAGATGGGAAAAAAGGAATTTTTTTTAGGGATAAAGGGTAATGTATAATTTCTTTAAAAAAGGAGATTCTGCAAGGTACATAAGATGGTATTGTAGTACTTGTATTAGAAATAGAAAACTAGAATGTTATAAGAATTAATAAAAGATCAAAATATTGAAATGTTTAGTAATGACAGATTTTAAAATTTAACAAAATATTAAAAGGAATGTTTAAAATACTGAGTTTAATTAAAAAGTTTAATTGACTATTGTTTTGATTTTATTATAAACTCATTATTGTAGCACTTGTCCTTTGAAATAGACAATTGGAATGTTATAAGATTTAACATTTAGATTTATTATTTAATTATATTAATTATTATGGACTTATTATTATTATTTTTTTCTCTTTTTAAAGGTTAGCAGGTAGAATGTACTAAGCAGAATCAGATTGGGTATTAGGCGTTATTTTAAATATTAATTTAGGGGGAGGATAGAAAGGCATCACACTCTGATCAGTGATTTCAGGAGAAATCCTTTTTTTTTTTTCTTACTGTAGGGAATGAGATAAATGGATAATTTGGAAAGAATGGGCAAAAAATACAAATACAATGATTTAAATTAAAATGAATTAAATAAAATAGAAATAAGAAGCGTGAAAAGCGGGAGAAGTTATATAGAAGATATAGAATGGTAAATAAGATAGGTAATGGTATATAAGATGAGCACGAATTTAATTGAAGTCCATACAAAGAGAGGTAATCTGGGGCCAAACTACTTTCTTAAAAGAAGTTTTATATTTTTGTGTTTTGTGTGTTCATGTTTTGTTTGAGAATTAATAAAACCTTGGAGGAATGTTGGAGGAGAATAATGGTAATCAAGTCAGAGAGAAATGTAGATGATGATT